CACAGAGAGCACAGAGAGCACAGAGAGCAGAGAAAGCACAGAGAGCAGAGAGAGCAGAGAGAGCAGAGGGAGCAGAGAGAGCAGAGAGAGCAGAGAGAGAAGAGAGAGCAGAGAGAGCAGAGAGAGAGATAGAGAGAGAGAGATAGAGAGAGAGAGAGAAATAGAGAGAGCAAAGAGCAGGAGAGCAAAGAGCAGAGAGAGCAGAGAAAGCAGAGGGGGCAGAGAGAGCAGAGGGAGCAGAGAGAGAGAGACAGAGAGAGACAGAGAAAAAGAGAAAAAGAGAAAAAGATAAAAAGATAAATAAAAAAAAGAGAAATAGAAAATAGAGGAAAAAAGGAAAAGAGGAAAAGAGGAAAAGAGAAATAGAAAAGGAGAAAAGGAGAAAAGGAGAGAAGGAGAGACAAGAGAAAAAGAAAAAAAGAGAAAAAGAGAAAAAGAGAAAAGAGAAAAGAGAAAGGGATAGAGAGAGAGAGAGAGGGAGGGAGGGAGGGAGGGACGGAGAGAGGGAGAGAAGGAGAGAGAGAGTGAGAGGAGAAAGGGAGAGTGCGTGTGTGTGTGTGTGCGCGCGCGTGCGTGTGGTGTGTGTGTGTGTGTGTGTGACGCAGAGAAATGAGAGAGGGTGAGAGACGGTGAGAGAGGGGATGAGAAAAGGATCGGGAGAGGGGGACTCTGTCAAAGTGATAGATAGCAGGAGAATGGCATTGGCATAGCCTATGTGCCTATGAGCCTATGGGAAGTCATTATGGTCCTGTGCCATAGGCTCGCCCATTGACTTCTTGCCCATCCCTCAATTCCGTGGGCAGGGCTCCAGCGATGGGAAGGAGGCTGTGAGCGAGCAGGCTGGGGACAGCGGGGTGTCGCAGCCCCAGAGTGTCAGCAGCTTGGCCGATCACAGGAACAGCCAGGAGGCAGTTGATGAGCAAGGCAACAATCTATTGCCACCGAGCGCAAGCAATAGCAATGAGACCGTGAATGAGCAGGTTGGCATCAGTGACATGGTGCAGCCTCCCGGCGCCAGCACCTCCGTCGACTGTGAGAAGGGCAAGGAGGCTGTGAGTAAGCAGGGTGGATGCGATGAGATTGTAGAATCCTCTAGTTGCCAGGGCGCCAAGCATGAGACCACCGAGCACGAGGGCGTCAATTTGCACAAGGAGGGCGATGTGGTGAAGGGTGAGACTTCACTGGTGGCATTGCCTTCACAGCTAGGTGAAAAGGCAGCCAAGGCCAGAACTGGCCAAAAGAAAAGAAGTTCGACACCAAAGAAGAAAGTCGTTTTTCCCAAGAATTGGCAAATTCCAATCAAACAGACGAAGAGAAATATCTTTGACAACAAGATCCAGACCCAGAATAGCAATTCTCAGATTCCAATGCCTCGAAAAACAAAGACAAACCCAGTGATTAGATTGACCATGACAAATATCTTTGACTGCAAGGGTAAGAAAGCTGGTTGCGATGCTCCAGTGCTGCAGGATGAAGATGCGGCAGCAGCAAGTTCACAGTCTGCTCCTTCTGCCCAGCAGAAAGTCTTGAGTGAGGCTGAGCAGATTGCTTGTAAGCCGGAAGCTGCGTCGCAGTCAGCCTCGGCTCGGATCGATGATGCTGATGACATTGGGGATCTCTTTGGCTCAGTCAAATCGGAGGTAGCGAGTGATGGTGGCAGTGGAGATGGCGAACCATGGTCTGAAGGAGGTGAATCTGAGGAGCTTTGCCGTGATGATGAGGTTTTGATGGATCAGAAAGGGGTGGTGGACACCAAGCCCCGACTGGGCCAGGCACAAAGAAAGAAGAAGAAGGATGATGCGGATGACACATTGGACATGGAATCGATGCAGCCCTTTCTTGGACCAGATGGTCAAGTGGATATGATTCATTTTCTCAGCAACTTGGCGCAACACTACGTGAAGGTTGCCTGTGATGAGCTGGGTGGGAATGAGGCACTGGCTTTTGATGAAAACATTGCTATGGGCTCCCTTTGTTCCGGATCCGGAGCTGGCGAGCTGGCTTTTTCCGCAGCAACTGCTGCTCTGAGCGAGCATTTCATGCGGCCCTTGCAGCCCCACGTGGCATTTTGCTGCGAAAAGGAGTCTTGGAAGCAGGCTTTCTTGCAAAACCATATCACGCAAAACAAATGTTGCATCTTCACTGATGTGGTGCAGCTGGGTGAAGCTCTCAGCGGCCCCTCAGATCTTGACAGCAAAGATACCGAAGGTTTGGGCGAGAAGAAAAAAGATGAAACTGAGGCTGGACAGCCTTGGTGTGAGACGCACAAGAGCCACAGTTGCCATGAAGCCATCAACGACGAGCCGATCTCCATTCTGAAGAGTGGGTTCTCCTGTAAGGGGAATTCTCGCATGAACATCCGATACAGTGAGTACCGAACCTCTTTCCAGCAGGGGGACACAGGGAATTGCAGTGTGAGCACATTCTTTGGAACCTGCGATGTGATATCTGCGACGAAACCATCGGTTGCAATATTAGAGAACGTGGACATGGGTCCTGAAGTCCAAGACTCCAACATGAGCAAAGTCATCAGTGACCTTGAGAGCATCGATGACGGCATGTACAGCGTCAAGGCGTTCCACTTGTCTGCAGACAGCTACATCTTACCGCAGACAAGGACAATTCCGCCGATGACTGTTCGAAGTATGAATATCTAAATATGCATTTCCTTTTGCTGTTATCGTACTACTTACAGCCTTATATAGCTTTAGCCTATAGCATGATGTCACTGGTGCTTCTGCTGTTTGTTCCCTAAGGGGCTTAGGATGATGTTCTGCTCAACGTCTCAGGAGCTTCGGAGAGATACTTGTCCATCATATCGCCAAGAGCTTCCTCCAAAGAGACGTCCGGCTGAGGAGATTGCTTGTGCTCTATCTCCGGCTTGGCTGCTGAATCCTGCATTGCGAAAAGGTTCCAACGAATGTCACACAATGTGTGTTTTCTCAATCCAAAACTTTTGGTTGCAGTCATAGTGAGTCATGGTCCATGTGGTCTGTGTGTGTATGTTTCTGTGAGCACCTCTCACATCCACATTGTATGTCACCCAAGCAGCTACCAAGTCCACGTTGTATCTACCGAACCAATGTGATCAGTAATCGGTTTGTGTTCGTAGAGTCGTGCTGCGCCGCAGTCTAATCAAGACAAATAGTTCACCATCATTATTTTGTGGCATGCACTGTGTGGTTTGTGTATGCTGCATTCTGTATGCTGTATGCATTCTGTATGCTGCATGCTGCATGCTGTCCTGTATCCATTGTCAAACTGAGGGAAACAAACCATAGTCAGGAGTCAGGAGTGTCAAAGCAGCAGGTATGGATTTCAGAAGCTTGTGTGCAAGCACGGGATGCGGATATGACAACTTGGTCTGTGCTTGTGAACTGAGTTTTGCACCGTGCTGTTCCAAAGAAAAATGACCAAATAAAATCAATGTTCGTAACTATGTCTCCTGCGGGGAAACAAGCACTCCCGCTGACGATGGTCGAGCAGGCTCAGGTAGTGAGCCCACAGCCGGGTTATCTTCAGGATTTCCTTTCCGGGACCGCTTCTTTTGCGGTTCTTCGGAAACAGGGCTGGCACTAGGCAGCACCTTGGGCTGTGCCGTGGCCTTTGATGCCGTGGCCTTTGATGCCCTGCCCTTCGCCTTTGGTTCTGGAGGCGGTTTCTCCGCCTTCCTTCGGCCCATGATCGATGGCCGAAGAAGCACGAATTGAAGGTGATCAGATCTGCATGCAATTGACTGAGAGTGGTTCCAATGTCCATCGCCATTTCCTGGCTTGGTGACTCTGAAATAGTTTGCGCTAGCAATATTACGGGAATTGCTAAATCGTAAAAACATGAAATCTCTGCGTCTTCTTCAATTTGTCCCCCTGATGTCGCACCCTACTCCGTTCGACCTGATCAAAAATACCCTGCAAATCAAGGGTTGGCAGCAGAAGGAAACGGTAAATCGGCACATCCCAGCAACAATTCTACCTTCAAGTCCCAAAGCGCAGACTGAACAAGCACATCGATGACATTCACCGATCAGGCCAAACACGGTCCTTGACCTTGGCCAACTAGTTCTATCCAGCAAGTTGAATGTGAAACTGCCTAGCAATCCGAAAGGGGATACAGACAGAAATCGACCCGGCATTGTTTCCCTTCCCATGATGCTTGTGACGTATGTCCGCCAGCACAGAAACAGAAGTCCCACAATCTGCCAGTTTCAGGCTGACTGGGCGGTAAGGTGACTGTGATTTTCATGTCACCACCAGGCTCAGAACTTCAAGTAAACAAAACCAAGAATCATCCCCGCTGCTGCACGTTGCTTCTGCCTGGAGCTCACAAAAACAAACTTGACAGGTGTCAGCTTGAGTCGTGCAGCGAGTCATAGACTCATAGAGTCGTACATTTGGGTAGCAAGTGGTCGTGGGCAGGCAAGTGCGTGGTGCTGCAGGGAATCACAACGCAAGCACTAGCTATTCTGCTGTCAGTTGCTACTTACCAACCAGTTACCAAAAAACAAAATCTGAAAGCGGAATTTCTGTCAGGGGTCAAGAATCTGAGAAGATATCTGGTTCATGCACCATGGACCGAGTTTTCCGAAACCAAATCAGAGACTAGACCAGTCCACATTCGACACCGGCTAGTACTGGTACAACGAAGCGGTGGGCCAGCACCCCAGACGTGGCGCCCCGCTACCTTCTCAAATGCTCATCGGCATCTGTAGAGAAGTGTCATAGAAACTCTGCCAATCTATGATCTAAGATCTAGGAACAGGAACTCTTACTCATGCTGCTACGGAGCTTGCTGGTGAGGCCAATTCAATTTCTATCGGCTGGTTGCTGTTTTACATGTGGAAAGTTTCAGATTGTTCTTGCTGAAGCAATGAACGACGGATGAATCAGAATAACAAAACGACGAAATTTCAAGCGCCAAAGACCTGCAGAAACAAACCTGGTTCGTATTAGCGGCCCACCAGCAGCTCTCAGCGCGTCCTAACTTGAAACCCCCACTTTCGCTCACTCTGGGGGCGTCTGCCCTGCCTTTGCCAATTGATCCGCGCATCTTTGCAGCAAGTCATCCGGCAAGTTGACACCATTCGTCTTCACCCCGGTAAGAGCGAACTGCAAATCTTCGGCAATGTTGGCCTGTCTGCTTTCCTTCTTGGAAACGGTCTCTTTGCAAACACTCTTCCAGACCGGGCTTTCCAGTACTGAGAGGATAGTGAAGACATACACAAATTTCCTTCCAGACATCAAAGAATCCTGCACCTTCTTCGTGTCAGTCTCGATGCCGGCAAGACAGCCACAGCACTTCTCCACCGCATCAAGGAATGCTTTCACCTTGCTAACCAGCTTGGACGCATCCTCTACGCGTTTCGAACCAAGAACCTTTTTGACCTCACTCTCCACATCAGCCTTGTACTCGGGCAACTGTAGCTTGTCCATCTCTTCAACAATTGTCTCTGCTTGCTGCTGGACCTTTTCTTGAAGGGTCTTTGTCCATGCCACCAGTGAATCTTCCAAACTGCCGAAGAGATTTGCAAAAGTGTCAGCATCGAGGCCTTGGTGCTGAAATGCGCCAACCAACTTGTCCTTGGAAAATTGAGGGTCGTGGATCGCCAGCTTGAGGGCTTTCAGTGCCTTGAACATTGATGCTGCAGGCTCCTGTGGGTTCGTTGACAATTTCCAAGGGCCTTTCTTTTCGCCCTCCATGATAGTCATACCTCAAGGGTGGTTGGTTGCTATTCAGCATTGGTCCATCTGTCTCTATCGGCCCGCCTACCTACCTACCTCTATAGACGCATATGTACGTATGCAGTATGCAGGACATAATCAGATGTGTATAGATATGTTATGTTATTGTTGCTCGCAGTGATTTTATTGATTTCTGCTTGGCTGCCCTGCAGACGGAGACTAAAGTGAGTCAACGCGGAAGACTCGGAAGAGACAAGACAAGCCATTGAGCTGAGCACTGATTGCAGATTAAGGCTAATCGGCGTTAGCATTAATGAAAACTTGTGGGGATAGAATCAATCAGTTTAAGTTCTAAACAAAAGCTCACCGCACGCAAACACACAAAAATTAAAAATAATGTCGCCCAGCCGCTGTTGAAAACACAGATGCGAAAGGTCTCTGCAGCGTGGGCGAACTCCTTCATCTCCGATTTGTCCTGCTCAGAGAACATGTCCGCAGTGCCAAGACGCTGGAAGTCTTCGATGTTGGTTTTGAACGCTCCCCACTTCTCAGATGTTGTCGGCGGCGCATTGTCTATCACATCCTTGATCACCGAAATCATGTTGTTTTTGATGCTGACGCATTTGTTCTGGAAACCCTCTTGCATTTTGAGAAAGAACTGCTCTCTGAAATCCGCAAGCGCGCTTTGCAACAACTGTGAAGAGGAGAGTCCATCCAAGTCATTCTGGCACTGGGACCAAACAAGCATCAGCGCGTGCGACTTCTCCAATGTCATCTCCCCATCTGCATGGCCATGGGAAATATCAAAAGCCCCACAACACTGCATGAGCTGGTCATGGCTCCTGCAATGGGCTGGTCTGCCACTATTGGGCGCGAATTTTATCAGCATTAACATTCTCAACAACGACTTCAAATAAATACATCAAGCCTTGTTCCTAAGTCAAAACATGAATCCTGGAGAATAGGCACCAAGGAAGTGAATCATGAATCATGAGTCATGAGGTTAAATTTGAAATATAATATAAGCTTTAAACTCACCTTAATGATTTTGAGACCATTGTGTCGTAGCAACCGGTCAGGCTTTAATGTCTTTCCCCGCCCGGGCAGCTCTCCTGAAGACTGCATGGTCTGGAACGATTTTCCGCAGATGAACAACTGACCATTCCGGCTTTTTGAGGCATGCCATCTTGTTGGTGGCGTGGACAACCTGGGACTGAATGAAGGGCGCAAGGTCATTGGACGTGTGAAGGGTGATGAGCTTCTCACACAAAGCTTTCACCTGCAGCTCCAACTTTTCGACGTTTGGAAACTCTTGCTTTCCAGCCAGCTGAACCCGCAGGTTCGCCAAACGATCCCAAACATTTCCCACTTCCTCAGCGGACAGGTCTGAAGCCTTCGACTCCATGTCTTTGACGTTGCAGGTAACTTGCTCCAACTCTACCAGATGTTCTTCGGAAGCCAATCTTTTCTTGGCAGCCGCTTGGGCTTGCTCCACCAAAGATGACCCCTGCGGTAGAAGTACCATTGCGTAGAAAAGCTTTGACTCCGGCTTGGCCTGTAGAACTTCACCTGCTGCTGACAACACAGCGTTTGGAAGAAGAGTCTTGTCATCATGAGCAAAAATGAGCTGCAACTTGTTGAACTGAACCTGGAACTCAGGAGGCAAGTCAAGCTGGTCCTTTGCCACAATGGCGTCCACAAAACGTCTGATGGAAGTAACCCATGGAGATCCAAAGCGCACCTGTGTCTGCGGCATTGCCCGCAAAAGTTTTTGCAGGACTTGCTCGAGGATGAGGCACAGCTGTGCTTGGAAGTAGTCTGCATCCTCACAGCTAGCTTTGGACTGGAACTGAGTAATCGCATCTGCAAGCTCATCAAACTTGCCAAACTTGACGAAGTCCATGACCTCTGCCTTGAGCAACTTCATCTTGCTGACCCTGCCGCAGTCAAAGCCTTGTTGGGAAGCAAGATTGATCAAGTTGCCCAGCTCGTCTGCTTTAGGAGCGACAGAGGACAGCTGAGTGAACAGACCCTGCAATGTGGAGGCAGCTGCGTTGATGTCTTTCGCCTTCTCGAGCATAGCCGAATTCTCGCCAGAATTCTTTCTGCGTTTCATCTGGGCAATCTTCTGGGATGCCTGTGCGCTCAAATCCTGGCACTTTGGAAGATGTGCTTGGCAAAAAGTATGCAAATCCTTCTCAGATGCCAATTGCTGCATGTCTGACTTGGCCAGTTCCGCCAAACTTTCTTCAGCTTCAGATAGAAAAGTCTCATCTGCCTGGTGAACTGCTGAAGCACTTTGCCGCCCTTTGACTTTGGCTTTCTTGCTTGGCTCCTCTTCGCCCGCACTGGCGGCATTGGCTCTTTTCCCTGTCCCAGCACTGGTGGAAGCAGGCACGGCCCGCAACTGCTGGAAAAGATGTGCAGCCCCTGCAGATTTCTTTTCCTCATGTCGTTGGCTCTCCTGCACGGGCTTGGCTTTGGGCTTTGCACCGGCTTTTGCGTTCGGCTTGGCTTTGGCGGCTCCGCTGCCTCCAAACATTGTAAGCAATCTTGAAGACAGCCCACTGCAATCATCCTCATCATCATCACCGTCATCTGCTGGATCTGAAGGTCTCGGTTTTGCCTTTGCTTTGGCACTTTGCGCAGTCTTGTCTTTGTTGGGCAACGACCTGCTCGGATCACTCCCGGACGCAGAGCTCTTGAAGAACATCATCAGTCCAGCGCCGCTGCCCGGATCACAAGTACCCAGCACAAAGTCTGTCGGGGCATCGGTGGGTGCCTCCAAAAGATGTTTCGTTGCAGATTCGTAAAGCTGCTCAGCCTGGTTTTCCCGGAGCTCCACATCGTCAAGCAAGCAGGTTTCCAACTCCACACTGTTTCGCTGCTTCTTGTTCAGCCTGAACATGCCGCGGTCCTCTTCTTTCACCACCATGACTCCGGTGACAGGGCGGCCTCGGAAAATCTTTGTTACCTCAGCGGAATTGAAACGACGGAAGTCAAACACATAAAGTTAAATCACCTCAAACAATATACATCGCCATCATCTAGTCACATGGTTCAGTTGTCAAGCGTGCATGGAAGGGCTCAAAAGATGAACACATGAAGCATAACACATCAGCATGCATATGATTGGTCGTTTCACACGCCACGGATTTCGAACACTCTGCAAGCCCATGTGCATCAACGGTGCAATTTTGTTCTTGGGCGCTGGTCCATGTTTCTCCTCGTAAATGTCCAACCTCATCAAGTATTCAATTTCACCATCCATCTCATCTTCCTGCAAGGAACGGCACGGTCTCTCTTTGTGGTATTCAGAGTTTCAAGAGTCAGTCTGACTCATGACTCATGGCTCATCACTCATGACTCATGAGTCATGACATGGGTGTCATAGAGTTGAAAAGTTAAATTTTGAATGCCTACATCTTGCAACAGTTATAATGTTATAGTGATAGACTTATAGCTACAACATCTTATAATCAGAACCAAACATTTCGTGATGTGGTGGGATCCGCGGAACCCCCAGCAAATTCCACAGAAGGCTGCTTGTGTGTTCCAACCCTGATGCAACCACGTCTGTCAATGTCTGTCCTGCGTCTGCTTCAATGCCATACGGCGTTTTGGTACCAGGTCATGCTTTCCGCTGATCTGCATGGCAGGGTTCTCTACCTTCATCTCCACAGTCTTGGCACGGGCAGCCATAAACTCTTGGTGGAGGGACGGGCTTTTGTGGATTGCCTCACAGTAAGACTGAATGGTGTTGTACTGGTCAGAGAAACTTCCACGGACATACACGTGCTTGCACAGCCTACCAAAGGGTCGCAGGATCTGTACAAGGAGGTTGGGATAAAGGCTCAGCTGTCACCATTGAAAATTGTAGAAATCAAGAATGCCTATCTGGTTAAGTGGATATGATTAGCGAAATGAAATGAAGCCGCCACACCCTGTTTGTTCAAGAACACCTGCCTGCAAAAGACGCCTGAGGGAGCAACCCGGGTGCCATTCCCCCAAGCTATCAAGTCACCCCATGCGGCCGTCTCTTGATATTCTGCCTTGTGCAACGATGACTTGGCACACAAACGGCAATACTTGATGCGGTAGCTTTCTGGCAAGCCGAGCTTGTCACGGATCTCATCTGAAGCAAGTTCAGGCCTGGAACAGGAGGCCCCACTTTCAGATGGCGGAGGGCCATCCTCCTCAGCAGCCTGCTGCAAGCCTCCAGACTGCTTGATCTTCTTGGGCATTGTCACGACTCCAGCAGGCAAGCGATCGAATTGCGGCCAGTGGTCCCAAGCCCGAAAAAAAAAAGAACAACAATAATAATTTAGAGAAATAGTCTGATTGAAACCTTGGTTGAAATGAAATCAGTGAAATCCAGGCATAGTAGACATGCTTTGAGGAGTCTCTGTTACACTCATATTTGACAGCATAGCTCAGCCAAATGCTTCACAAATACCAGCACACGGTCAGCACAGAGCGGTCAACTTTCCCCGTGTTGTTGCTAAAGGTTTTGTCAAAATGTATGTATCAGTAACTGCATAAGTGCAAACAATTGTGTACCTTTACGCTCTCATATGTGTTTTGTTTGCGGGGTCTATGCGTCACACATGCGCGCAGTTTATGTAAGCCAACCCGTAAGGCCTTATTTTGCCAAAATAAGGCCTTATTTTGGGTCTGACGTAAACTGTGTCGCAAACACCGCGCAAAAAAAACACAAAAAAAAATAGCCTCAGCACAAGTTCCGCGCAAAACAGACATATGTGTGGTTTTGCGTTGCATATGCGCACTGTTTGCGCATTGCTTGCGTATCGTTTGCGTTCTGTTTACGTAACTGTTTACGTAAGGCACAAAATAAGGCCTTATTTTGTGCAAAATGCACAAAATAAGGCCTTATTTTTCTGACGACGTAAAAAAAACACAAAAAAAAACATAAACTATGCACAAGTGCACGCATAAATGCGACATAATTGAAACATAAAACGCTTTTATGTTTGTGTTATGTTTTGCTTTGCGTTTCCTTAATGAACCAGTTGCGTTTTTTTTGTGATTAACTTGCGTTGCGTTTGCATAATCATTTGCGTCAAGCCACAAATAAGGCCTTATTTTTGGAAAATAAGGTCTTACCGCGGGGCTTACATAAAAGGCGCGCTGTCAAGTCACAAAGCGGTCGCATAAAATTCAGAAATCAGATGTGCAACGGCCAAAAAAGCTACACCTGCTCACTGCGCATTGCTCTTGATGCAAGTGTATGCAGTTGCATGACAAAACCAGCTGCAAACAGAAGTGTGAAACAAGCTGCTGGCTGCAGTGAGTTCTACACTTGCCTTTTTTTGCAAACGTTTCTCTCTGGTGTTTCCCTCAGAGCCTTTCCCGATCTCTGAAAGTTGAGAGACCCCCTGTGGATCCTAAAGTTCGCAAGGTTCAAGCGAATAGGGTAAAATCCAAACACCTGGAGACCCAAGTTGCTTGCGCTTGCCAATGTCCTGTCTTTTGAAGAAGTGATGTCTCCCCTTCACATTGTCAATCTCCACCGCGCAATGATCTCTCCTTCGCGTCTGCATGAATCCACCTCAGATCGAAGACCAGTAGAGCCGGAAAACTCCTGCAAATAACCAGAAAGGTAAATTCTTGAAGCCACTGCTGCCCCTTGCTGTTCCTATACGGAACCTAAGCCGTGTATTGGATACCATCACCGTAAACCAAGCATACAATATCAATATCGTTTTTCGAATTTGACCTATCCAACTTGTTGTCAGGCATTTTGACAACACAGCAACACCAAAACTCGGCTGAGAAGCATGCTCATATGCTTGGACCCTTCAGATC